CAGCCATGGTATTGAAATGGCCACAATTCAAATATTATTGCTTGGATGACCATTGAATTGGGTTTTGGAATCCTAGCAAGTAGCTCAAATCTGTTTCCTGTTTGGATGCAAAAGCATGGAATTGAAACGCTGGGTAGCTTGATACTGGCCATGGTGGACAGAGGTTGGCAGCGGCCACCACGGCGGGCCACGGCAGGGTGAGCTCGACCACGGCCATGGCGGGCGGATCTCGGGCTCGGCAGTCGCGGCCATGGGGGAGCTCGATCCCAGCCAGGCGGCTAGATCTCGGCAGCTGTGGCCATGGGGGAGCTCGACCCCGGCCATGGGGGCGGATCTCGGCGGGCCACGACAAGGAGAAGAAGAGGCACGCTGGCCATGGAGAAGAAGGGGCACGCCGGCCATGGAGAAGAAGGGTTGCGCCGGCGTCAGGGAAGAAGCGGCGCATCGGGGAGCAGCCTGCACATCGGGGTCGCTGGCGTCGGGGTCGCGTGCGTCGGGGCGCCCTCCGCGTCGGGCCCCCATGCGTCGGCGGGGGCCGGGGAAGGAGTCAGGGGCCTCCGTGGTCTGCGCGTCGGGGGGGCGCAGTGGGGGCGTCAGGGGCTTCCGTGCGTCGGGGTGTTTCTGAATGTCGCACCATACGAAGGCCTCGGGCTCGGTATTGGAGATGATGAGGCGCAGGTATAGCCAATACTAATTGGTATTAGGTTGGAATTCCAATTCCAAATTCTTAGCCATCCAAACAGTGGAATTGGTAGGTTCACAATACCAATACCAAATCCAGAAGCCCAATATCTACATCCAAACATGGTGTAAGATTTACATTGTATGGTGAGCAAGTATGCATATAATTAGTTTAAATTGGCTGTTGTACCACGTTCCAACTCCAGCTAATTTATATTTTCTTAAACTAAAACTTAATATTGAACATGTGCTTTATTAACAAACTTTGGATTTTACCTAACATATAATCCCTCTGTCCCATAAATATGGTTGTTTGGGAGCAAGGCTCTTGTACCAAGGAAGATGGTGAAGTACCTGCATACCCCTACTATCCATGATTACAATTGGTAAAAAAGTAGTAGTACAAGCAGCAGCAGCAGGATTCCCACCGGATGGGAGGAGCCAAGGGAGGCTGGGCGCTGGGCGCTCGGTCAGTGCAGTTTCCACTTCCACGCATCCAGTGTATCTGTAATGGATGGCATGAAAATGAAATGGTCGGTCCCTCTTCCTCTAACGCCGCTGGTCGATGCCGCCGATGGATGTCCACGCGCTCGATGCACCTGGCCGCGTGCCGCGGCTATCCCTGCTTCTTTCAGGGACGAGGCTGCGGGCGTCGCGCCGGGAGGTTCCTCCGTGGATGTGATGGCGATGCTCGCCACGTCAGGCAGGCATTTGGCCTGCAGCAAGTTCCAAAAATAATGTGGTATCAACCTCAGCAATAGCTTCCACTCACGCGCCCGCCTGCCTAGATTCATTTGAAGGGCCAAATGACCCGTTCATCTTTTCCGATCGGACGGTTACAATCACCTAGGAGGTAATAGATGAAATATATATTTATTTAATTTCTTATTTGGTAAAATATGATACATAAGGGAAGTTTAGATATGAAAAATCTTTTTTTCTAGATTTCATTGCTACATGCGCGCGTGATCCACTGATATAGTAAATCCTTTTGACTTTGTAACCTTGGACCTGATATATTTTGACTATCATGTAATTTTGTATGTGACCTGACACTTGATCTTAGTGTGATATGATTTGCATGTGTACATGATTAGTGTGTGTACGTCATTAGCGTGCATGTACATAGTTATTAGCGTGTCAGGTGAGCGGGTAATTGATGTGAGACTAGATTGTCAGACTAGTCCATACCGGTAGCAATTACAGAATATCAAATTTTGGAAATCTCCACGGAAAAGGAAAGAAGGCCACGAGGCTTCTGTCTCCGTGACGAGGTCATCGTGATTAGGGGGATGCGGCAAGATTTTTTTCCCCCATGTTAATTAAGTAAGTAATTAATTCAAAAATCCAAAATTTCAGGGGCTCAGATTTATCTGAAGTATTACCTCAATACCTTAGCATTGCCCTAATTTGAAATGCTCAGCAAGACATGACTAGTCCCACTACCTGAGAGAAGCTCTTCAGCAATCGCAAGACGGTCCTTGTCATTAGCTGTGCTGACAACAAGCGCTGGAAGCCCTTCTCGTCTGACAGTTTCTTTCATTTATTATAAGACTATCTCCAACAATGGGAACCCAAATATAAGACCCATTTCACGTTTGGGTAACGCTACAGGCAAATGTTTCAATACTTATTTTTTGTCTTCTTCAACAACAAGACTTAAAAGAGAACCCTTTCTGCAAATGGGTCTCCAAGAGATAGGATATTCATATTTAGGTCGTGCCTCTCCTGGCTCCCAAAATGGGTCTCCTATACAGGTACTCTGTTGGAGACCGATACAGTACTGTCGGAGACCTATTTTACGTTTGGGTGCTCTTATGCGTCTCCTATTGGAGACAGTCTAGGGCCTTTGCAGATGCCCCATATGTGCTGAGACATAGTTCAAGCATCAGCGACTGACGCTACTAAGAAGGGGAGGGATGTCTTATAGCAGAGGTTAACCTCCATCGATGAGTACAGTGGATGCGCCCCTATCGAGTACTGAAGCTTCCTCTGCTGTGAGAAACTGGCTCCTCCCAGGAAGTTGAGTCTTTCTCGCGCGGGTGGTTGCTCCGGCGATGCCATGGCGATGCTCGCCTCCGTCAGTAGCACAACGTCAGGCGTTTAACCTGCAGCAAGTTTCAGAGAAAATGTGGCATTCACTTCTGCATTAACTTTCAATCATGCACCGGCAGAACCAAATTTCAAATGTTCAGCAAGGGATGACTAGACCTACGGGGCTACGACTACCTGAGACAAACTGCTCAGCAAACGCAAAAGATGCTCCTTGTCATTAGCCATTCCAACAAGCGCTAGAGCCCCTTCTGGCCTGTCTGACAGTTTGTATCACGTCTGATAATGCCTTTGCAGATGCCTTAGTGCTAGTTAGTATGGGCTGCCGGGCTGGGACATAGTTCAAGCATCAGCGACTGACTGGCACAACTGCAAGGGAAGGATATGTCAAGACCAGGTTACAGCGAGGTTAACCTCCATCGATCGATGAGTACAGTGGATGTGCCATCGAGCCCGAGTACTGAGGCTTCCTCTGCGGTGACTGAGAAACTGGCTCCTCCCAAGAAGTTGGGTCTCCTCTAAGTCGGCTTGGATCCAAGCGTCAGAGATATCCCAGCATGCTTTACTTACCGAACCCGTGCAATAGAGGGGATAAAAACACATCAGCGAATGCGTGTGATAAAGGAAAAACAGACAAATGAATGAAGAAACAGAGAAAGGAAGGATCAAATGTTCAGCCTTCTAATATTTCAGCCTCATTCATGATCAATCTTAACTCTGGAGAAATGTCACTTCGATGAAACTGGATGGATGGACTGTCAGCAAATTGGCTTGGAAGTATGTTACCTTGACTAAGTACAGAGACCGAGAGCTGCGCAAGCAGTTGTGATAGCGTTCTGACGCTGATGACCTCCAGCAGCTGCAGGTATACAACATCCAGTTCAACAGACTGAAAAGGAAAAGTTTGCGCTGATCAGTTCGAAGATTTGAAAAAAACAGATGGGAGCCTATCACATTCAGACTATAAGTAGGTTACGTCACGATGAAATTCGCCAATGGTACATCATTTGAAAACTTGATGCTGATGTAACAGCGTTGATATGGCCTTCCATTATCCCAATCTATGCATTTTGTAAAGCTCTTGATGCCAGGATCACAAGCAGATACCGCAGGAGATCGCATCAAGAATGCCCTGTCACAAATAATTTGCTCAATATCTTCTGGAAATGGTCTACCCATCACAACCTGAGAAAAAATTGTTTGATATCCAGGTTACATGTTGTCTAGCTAGGAAAGAAACCAAGACAGAACAGAAAAGCCCAATCGTAGTATCCTCATTTGAATCATGTATGCTAAGCTAAGAAATTCATATATGCGTGGAGTAAAGATTTTAGAACAAAATTCCAGCACAAATTCTAATGATTGGAAAGGATTGAAGAAACTAAATGAGAGGAAACTGGAAGAGGGATTGGAAATGATTGAACAAAATTCCAGCACAAATTTGTAACACTGCAGCAGTGTTGCTCCTTGCGTACAGTGCAATGTGACAAGGTAAAATGCCATTGATCAGATAATAACAAGGTAAAGTGGTCACCAAAAGAATTTGAGCTACTTCACATTTAGCAACGAACATGGGTGATCCTTAGGGGGAACTTTTTCGTGAAAAGTAATGCAAAAAAAAAAAGGAAGTGTTTGTTACCTTGGATTAGTAGTATCGGAACTTAACTATCGGTATTGTTCCTTGCAGCTTCTGGCATTGCTTCTGTAGCTTCTCGTTGCTTTCCGTGACATCTAATATTTGAAGTGAACTCAGGAGGCTGCCCTCATGCAGCGACCTGATAGCAGGACATTCGCGGATCGATAATATCTTTAGTGAACTTGGAAGCCTTTCCTTTGGTAGCGACCGGAAGGCATGGCAACAAATTATGTGTAGTTCTGTCAGCCAGCTTGGGAGGGTGCCCTTGGGCAGCGACCGGATGGCATCACAGCCCAGGATATATAATTCCATTCCACCAGTGAACTTGGATGGACCCACAGTAGTAGATCCTGCAGCCTAGAGTAGCCCACAATTTGAAGAACCTGTAGGGAAGTGAGCATCTGCAGGGCCTCTGATTGCTCCTTCGCGAAGTGCTCCATGTCGTTGTTCCGTCCAAGCGCTAGCTCGGTGAGAGAGGAAGAGAAGTGGACACCGATGGGCACAGCAACGGCGCCTCCTGCTTCCCCATCCGTTTCGAGCGCCTACAGCCTGGAGCTGTGCTGGGGAAGATCTTGTTCACAAATCCATGAAGGCTCTGGGACATCAAGTAAGTTGTGCGCTCCCCTGATTTCTAATTTCTATGCTGACTTAGACCCCCACGATCAGTTAGGACCAATCTGGTCAGATTTGTGAGACGAGACAGTGTAAGCATAGCATCCTTCACACCACCAAGCTGGAGGGACTGCAGGGAGGTCGGGAAAGGACAGTAAAACGAGGGGAGCGAACTGGAGGATAGAAGCATGGGGCAATCCCATATACTCAGTGATCTGAGAGAGCTCTGATTTTGGAGCAACTCCTTTAATTGGAGGGGCAAAGGCAGCTGTCCTCCTGCTGCAGCTTCTATTTCCTCAACTCCACCTGCCTGCTTGTTATCACACCTCCGTAGTTCCAACGTTGAGAGGTTGGGGAAATAAGAGATTAGATCTGTCAATTCCTTCACAGTGGCACCACAATCAAATATCCTGAGCCGTTCAACTAGAAACTCGAATGGGGAATCGTTCCTAGCTTCAGTCGGCCACAAGACATTACTACAGTGACTTATCCTCAGGCTCATCAGAGAATTTAGCAGTTGCAGGTGATTTAGAGGCACATGTGGGCATTTACTGATCTCATACTCCTCTATTTCACGCAGATTAGTAAATGCCAATAAATGGCAGCTCTGTAAGTTCGGAACAATCCTTAACAGTGAGTACCTCTAGCTTAGAGAAAGGGCTATCTGCACTCCATTTATTCAGAGTCGATATGTTGACAAGTTCTAGCCTTTTCAGATTCTGAAAGATTGGGCCTGCGATGCTTGGAAGACTTTTCCAGGCTACACCTTTGAGACAAAGGCATTCCAAATTCTTAGCAGAGCGGTCTGAACATAGCCAAGTTGGGTATGTGTGACCTCCATGTCCTCTAATGCACACTTCTTGAAGATTATTGTGTGGCTTAAGGCATTCAATAACATCTTGTTCCTTTTTTGGATCCCTATCAGACTGGTTTTCATCCCAACCTAATATTAATCGATTTAAGTGTTGCAAGTGGACTAATTTTAATTCTTCCAGTTCTGTTGTACCACCCACCTTTTCAATATTACAAATCGTCAATGACCCTTGGAGCTGTATCAATTTCCCCAATTGGTTCAACTAAGACGACGTAATTAAAGGCCTGTTTGGTTCCTTCCCCTCCTCCTAAAATTCCTGTCACATCGAATGTTTGACACATGCATGGAGTATTAAATATAAGATTAATTACGAAACTAATTGCACAACTTACGACTAATTTGCGAAACGAATCTTTTAAGCCTAATTTGTCCATGATTTGACAACGTGGTGCTACAGTAAACATGTGCTAATGATAGATTAATTAGGCTTAAAAAATTCGTCTTGGGAATTAGCCTCCACCTATGTAATTAGTTTTGTAATTAATTTATATTTAATGCTCCTTATTAGCCTCTAAATATTTGATGTGACATAAATTTTAGGAGCGACTAAAGAACCAAACATCCTTAAATGCCACTAGTTTAGCACAGGAAACTAGAGACAAGGCTTGTCTTAACTCTTAAGATACCGTGCAGCTATGGTACATGAGAATGGACGGGCATCCATGTCCAAATCAACGACATTCATACCACATCCAATTTAAGGATGTCCACGTCCAATCCAATCCAGCTTTAAGCTAGAGAAAATCGGGTCCAATCCAACCCACTCACTCAGTGTCCAAAATCCATCCATTTAATCCAATTAAACAGCAGCACGGGCACCGCAACGCCATTGGAGCGCCGAAGCTGACTCGCAGCGGTCGCCGGCGACGTCGAGGAGACGCGCGCCCCTGTTCCCCTGGCTCCGGCGTCTGCCGCGGCCGCCGCCGACGTCGCAAGGAGGCCGCGCCCCTGGTTCCTCAGCTCGGGCGTCGGGCCTCGTGCTCGACGGGGAGAAGTTGCAGAAACCCGTCACGCACATGTACGCTAGTGTCAGCGGCGTGGCTAGTGTCCATCTAGTCCAATGGGTTTTGGATTTTTATCTCTGGATGTCCAATTATCCAATGCTAATTTTGAACCTCACCTCCAGATATGTCCAAGGTCCAAATAAATCCAGTCCAAAAGAATCCACGAAGAAAAAGTCCAATTGGACTCTAGATGATCGAGGTCCGTTCCCAGGTGTAATCCCAACCCAACAAAATTCACTAATGTCAGTGGCACCAGCAGCTAGCAAGAAATGAAACAATGCCCAACCTTTACTGATTCATACCTTGCTTGGCCCCTGGACTCGGAGGCGGATGGCCTCGCCGGCAGCAGCCGAGGCCGGAGCAGGGGCTTGGACGGGGAGAGCGGCGAAGGGAGGCGCAGCAGCGACGCCATGTGGGGGATTTGCTGTGCCCCCGCGCCTGCCACCCTGCCGGCTGCCCTACGCCCCGGCCCCGCCCGTAGACTCGCCTCTGCCTGCGACCTGTGGCCTGCCTCTTGCCGTCGTGCACGGACGCGCCGCCGCTTCCCCGGCGGGCGGCGGGCATGGCCCATGGCCCATGGGCGGCGGGAATAGGGGGAACTGCAAATGAGCTGAGCCGTGACCGTGAGCGGGTGCGAGGCGGCCGGAGCTGTGGGCTGGTTGGGCTTGCTTGGGCAATCCGATCCGTAGCGGGCATATTGGCCCGCCACACAATACAACCTAAAAAAGACAAGAGTTATTTTGCACCCTTATATTAAATAAAAAAACTATATTTGCAGGTCCCATTTTCCTCCCTTGCCAATAAAACTGGATTTTAGCCTCTCAGCAGTTCGCTGATAGTTCAGGGGTAAATCGGATCACACATAATTTTTTCAGAAAAAATCTAAATATTTTCTACAAAAAAATATGCAATTATAAATCCTAAATTGAATTTTTTTATAAAATTCATAGAACAATTTTTTTAGCTCGAAAAAAATAAAACCCACTTTGATGATGTTTGCTAAAATCATGCCCTATCTTATGGTGCGCAGCTTGAGTTATTTGAATATTCTATGGTCTCTTTTTGATGTTTTTATTCCCTTGTAAATGCTCTCAGTATCTATTATCCGACAGGTGCCTGCGTCAGCACCGGCCCGGGTGCTACTGTACGTGGCCTACGTCCTGTCGGGCTTCGGTAGGCCGATAGGGCCTGTCGTCCGCCGGGAAGCCGACAAGTGCCTCCCATACGTTAGCAAGCTCTCGGAGAAGGCCCAATTAGACCTCGTGGCCTGTCGAAGTGACCAGGCATCCGGGCCCAAGGTGTACGCAAGTGCCCAACAGCACAAAAATATCTACACGATCGAAAGAAAATAAAAAACACAAAATAATGTCTCGCTCACGGTCCTACATACTCTCCTCCGCTCGTGCTGGCAACGATCGATCGGCAAGAGCTAAGGTAGGTTTTTCCTCAGCTAAACCTTTGCTGCGCTCTGATACTCGGGGCTGAAGGCTTCACAAGCTAGTTGTCGGAAGACTTGTGTAAAGTTTGCAGCCTCAATGGTCGTGAATCAGCTCGTTTTTATGAGCTGCTCTAGAAGTGCCCCGTTTTTATGGAACTTTCACAGTTTGCTGTAGGAGTACACTGCGGTTATTGCCTCCACAATGCCCACGCTACCATGACCATCCTAAATCATACAAGTTTTGACCTCGGTATGCAAAGACAAAATATAGGAGTTACTATACTGCAAGTGCCTGAATTTTTTATACCATAATTTTAAGCAACCAACTAGTCTCTATCTATATGTCCAATATTAAAGAGCAAAAATTTCCGCAACCAAATATCCATCCTCCCGAATCTTCTATGGAGTGCCGATGGGCATCCGCCACTTCTATTGCAGTGTACAAGTGGTCATCGTGATATGTTGGCAGGGACCAGCAAATTAATTTCTTGGGCCGTTTCTGCATGGGAGCTTGTACGAGACAGGGGTGCGGGACGAGAAGAGAAAAAAAACAAAAGATGGTTTTGGGTGGCTATAAAAATATAGAGGAAATTAAATTCCCTGTTTGGTCCCTTGCTATGAGTTTGACTGCTCTCCGAGGAGATAGATGACAACAAAACAAGCCTCGTCAAGTTTGGACTTAGCCACGGTAAAAAACCAGACCTGGCCATGGTCATAAATTCTAGACTTTCAGTCGTATTTCCACGAGCTCACAGGCCATGACGTGCTTACATGTCATGAGGTGTGTTGCATCCGTGCTTGGATGCCTGCACGTGCACGTCACGAGCCCCATTCGAGAGCATTGGCGATGTGCGGTCAAAGCCCGTTTGGAGACCGCCCGCCCCGTTGTATTGTTATGTAAAAAATTGCTGCCCACATCCCATCGCCCCCTCCTTCAGCCGGACACGCGCCAATAAATACCACGGCCATGCAGGCAGCATAATGGCTCATAAATGGGGACAAGGAGAGAGAGCGAGCGAGACCGCGACAAGGGATCAATCAATGAAATGGGTTTATCACCACGGGCCGGCCGATGAGGTCGTATAGCCACCGCTGCTAACTTCCTCTATAGAAGAACAGTGACCGCTGGTGTGCCTGCTCCAGCAACAGCCACGGTGCTACGGTGGGTTAGCAAGCTCCCGGAGAACAGCCACGGTGCTACTGTACATGGTTTATGCCCCGTCGGCCCTCGGTAGGCCGATAGGGCCTATCGGCCGTCGGGCACCGACAGTGTGCTCATGTCGAAGATCGGCCGGGTCCCATCAGAGGTGTCCACGTCTGTCGAAGCCGGTGTAGAGGTCCCAGAGGGCGCGGGAAGCCGACAAGTGCCTGCCATACGTTAGCAAGCTCTCGGAGAAGGCCCAATTAGACCTCGTGGCCTGTCGAAGTGACCAGGCATCCGGGCCCAAGGTGTACGCAAGTGCCCAACAACACAAAAATATCTACACGCTCGAAAGAAAATAAAAAACACAAAAAATAATGTCTCGCTCACGGTCCTACATACTCTCCTCCGCTCGTGCTGGCAACGATCGATCGGCAAGAGCTAAGATAGGTTTTTCCTCAGCTAAACCTTTGGTGCGCTCTGATACTCGGGGCTGAAGGCTTCACAAGCTAGTTGTCGGAAGTAACTTGTGTAAAGTTTGCAGCCTCAATGGTCGTGAATCAGCTCGTTTTTACGAGCTGCTCTAGAAGTGCCCCGTTTTTATGGAACTTTCACAATTTGCTGTAGGAGTACACTGCGGTTATTGCCTCCACAATGCCCACGCTACCATGACCACCCTAAATCATAAAAGTTTTGACCTCGGTAGGCAAAGACAAAATATAGGAGTTACTATACTGCAAGTGCCTGAATTTTTTATACCATAATTTTAAGCAACCAACTAGTCTCTATCTATATGTCCAATATTAAAGAGCAAAAATTTCCGCAACCAAATATCCATCCTCCCGAATCTTCTATGGAGTGCCGATGGGCATCCGCCACTTCTATTGCAGCGTACAAGTGGTCATCGTGATATGTTGGCAGGGACCAGCAAATTAATTTCTTGGGCCGTTTCTGCATGGGAGCTTGTACGAGACAGGGGTGCGGGACGAGAAGAGAAAAAAAAACAAAAGATGGTTTTGGGTGGCTATAAAAATATAGAGGAAATTAAATTCCCTGTTTGGTACCTTGCTACGAGTTTGACTGCTCTCCGAGGAGATAGATGACAACAAAACAAGCCTCGTCAAGTTTGGACTTAGCCACGGTAAAAAACCTGACCTGGCCATGGTCATAAATTCTAGACTTTCAGTCGTATTTCCACGAGCTCACAGGCCATGACGTGCTTACATGTCATGAGGTGTGTTGCATCCGTGCTTGGATGCCTGCACGTGCACGTCACGAGCCCCATTCGAGAGCATTGGCGATGTGCGGTCAAAGCCCGTTTGGAGACCGCCCGCCCCGTTGTATTGTTATGTAAAAAATTGATGCCCACATCCCATCGCCCCCTCCTTCGGCCAGCAACAGCCACGGTGCTACTGTAGGTTAGCAAGCTCTCGGGGAACAGCCACGGTGCTGCTGCACGTGGTCTAGGTCCTGTCGGCCGTCGTTAGGCCGACAGGGCCTATCGGCCGTCGTGCGGCCGACAGGTTCCTACGTCAGCAACGGCTAGTGGTGCTACTGTTCCTGTCGGCCTTCGGTAGGCCGATAGGGACTATCGGCCGTCGGGCGGCCGACAGGTGCCTGCTTCAGCAAAGCAAGCTCTCGGAGAAGACCCGATTAGACCTTGCGGCCTGTTGAGGTGACCAGGCATCCGGGCCCAAGGTGTATGCAAGTGCCCAACAGCACAACATATCTACACACTCAAAAGAAAAGAAGAAACACAAAATAATATCTTGCTCACGGTCCTGCATACTCTCCTCTGGTCGTGTTGGCAACGATCGATCGGCAAGAGCTAAGGTAGGTTTTTCCTCAGCTAAACTTTTGGTGCGCTCGAACCGCCGCTGATACTCGGGGTTGAAGGCTTCATAATTCCACCATGGTGAACCTAACCAACTAAGTTGGCTTAGTTCGCCGTTGAATACTACTTCTAATTTAATTAGTGGTGTCAAAAGTGCAATATTCATGTTTGCATATGACATTATCATAGCAATAGAACGTGGCCAACATCACATGCATAGATAACGTAAAGCGAAGACCAACGATGACATCATCATTGGAGGTGTTCTACAAGCTCGCACTATTTTTTCTATGCACAAAGAGAACACCTGTGTGATTTTTCTGGCCAAACAATTCCAAAATACATAAAGGTTCGTTTGGATGTAGATATTGGAGGGGCTGGAATTGAATTGGGTTCAATACCAAAGCAGCCATGGTATTGAAATTGTCACAATTAGAATATTATTGTTTGGATGACCATTGAATTGGGTTTTGGAATCCTAGTAAGTAGCTCAAATCCGTTTCCTGTCTGGATGCAAAAGCATGGAATTGAAATGCTGAGTAGCTTGATACTGGCCATGGTGGACAGAGGTTGGCAGCGGCCACCACGGCGGGCCACGGCAGGGTGAGCTCGACCACGGCCATGGCGGGCGGATCTCGGGCTCGGCAGCCGCGGCCATGGGGGAGATCGATCCTAGCCAGGCGGCCGGATCTCGACAGCTGCGGCCATGGTAATGGATGGCATAAAAATGAAATGGTCGGTCCCTCTTCCTCTAACGCCGCTGATCGATGCCCACGCACTCGATGCACCTGGCCGCGTGCCGCGGCTATCCCTGCTTCTTTCAGGGATGAGGCTGCGGGCGTCGCGCCGGGAGGTTCCTCCGTGGATGTGATGGCGATGCTCGCCACGTCAGGCAGGCATTTGGCCTGCAGCAAGTTCCAAAAATAATGTGGTATCAACCTCAGCAATAGCTTCCACTCACGCGCCCGCCTGCCTAGATTCATTTGAAGGGCCAAATGA